ATACACCCATACTTTTACATCGCCATGTAATAGAATTTTGTCTTTCCACGGGGCCTGAGTGTGAAAATTGACCACATGACCTCGTAGAGTTAAACACCAATAATCCGCAGATGCAAAGAAACGAATTTCATGGTCCACAAGGCCCGCCGCGCTGAAATAAGGACGCCTATCATACCCGTCTGACTGGAGAACGGTTATTTTTTCGACCAATATCATACGTTGTAAAACCCCTTTAGAGCAACAATAATAGGTAAATAATAGATAATTATATCAAATACAAGTATTTCATACATGATTTGTCATGTAAAATGTATAGATAATGAAAAGGAAAAATATCGCGATTATTAGATCCTTCACATTTTTACGCATAGCACACGGATTTTGAATCCGATTTTAACGTATTATGGCTCATTTTATAGCTGAATGATAGATCTATTACATGATGCAATAAGGGTTTGCAATATTTTCATGTGCCTAAAATTGACATAAATTTTCAGTATCCCTTTCTGGGTGTCGAGATTGTGGGCTGCGGAAAATGTTCACCTAAAAAGTAAGGTTGACTTCTAAAAAATGGCTTCTGCATATTATTGTAGAAGGATAATTCTATTCAGATATGAAATCAGAATGTCTGCGCGATTTTTTATTTTTATTTTGGATTTAAGATAAATTGTCAATGTAGGCCTGTAGACACGAAAAATTACTGCCACCCTGCTGCTACACCATACAAAAGATTTTGAAAAACCGTTACGTGCTGGCCCCGAATACTTCGGAATGCCGGTAGATGATAGACAATTATGGTTTAGGAAGATTATGCTTTTACCTTTAAATTTTTTCATACCATAATTATGAGAAAAAACTTCTGTTATTTCGGAAGTATACTTATTTCTTTTTTCAAGAAGCGTACAGGAAGCAAATTTAGTCCAAAATTAAAAGCATCTTCTACAGCGGTTACGGGAAACGCGACACCTCTTGCGCGACAGGAATCGAGCAGACGGTTAACTTTAATTGAGTTAAATATCCTGCTTTGGATATTTCATGCATATTCGTACTTATATTGGATATCTATAACACCGCACTACCCACCATAAGATATCAAAAGCCATCTTGGATATCATATTCCAAAATACTGTTTACCTGTTGGAAAAATAACCAGTACAGTAAAATAGCAAGCCGTCAACCGCGATCATTCCCATTACGTCACAGAAATGGGCGGAGCTTAGAGGCCTGTCTCGCCTCCTATCACGAGTCTCGTGATAGGTGTCGCGTCGCGTCTCGCGACACCCTGAATTGCTACCGGAAAAGATGCCTAAACATTATGGCTTTTTGTAGATAAATAGTGTGACTAGAGACTAATGTAGGAACTCTATTTCCCTCTGATTCATTGAAGACATTATGAAACCAGTACAAGTATTAAGGGAAGAGTGAGTCTTGACAGGAATATGTTTGCCAGTGAAGTCAATCAGGGTAGAAAGTGCATGAGCTTGGGACTCAAATGTAACTGGGTTAATGCGTGAATGGTCATAAAAGCCGCAGGACAGAAGTAGAAGAGGCATGTCTGACAAGGAAGGTGCGATCAGAAAGAAAGGACTTTATTAAAACTGTGTGAGAAGTAGGAGGAGGAATATTCAGCGGTTGAGTTAGGGGATCAAGAGGTGAAGTAGTACCAGGGAAAGTGGGATCCGGGAGTGTGACAAAAGATTCACGTGTGTATCCAGGAGGGAATGGACGGGATAGGGGGATGGACGGGGTTTGGTTTGGGTAGAGGATGGAGGTATGATGGGAAAGGGTAGGAGGAACAAGGGTAAGGGGAACATAAGAAGGAGAGGATGGATGTCAGCAGTCTCTGATTGTAGACAGAATGAGGGTAATGCTCAGGAAGTTTCGGCTGTCCTCAAGGGTGTCTGGAGGGGAGCTGGGCAGGGAGGTTTAGGAAACAAAGGATTTTTATGAGGCGCAGAGAAGATTTGAAAAGATAATGTAGTTGTAGGTGTGGATGTGGAAGGTAAGATGGGGTGAATCGTTTAACTTGTCTGGTGCGATAGGAAGGGCGAAGAGGAGCTGGCATAGGGAAAGTTGTGGATATTGGAGTATCTGGATTTAGAAAAAAAAAATGATTGGGAGAGAAGGGAAGTACAGGATGGGGTGAAGAGTAGAAGGGAAGAGGTACTGTGGAAGCTGTAGAGGCAGTTTGGGTAGTGGGGAAGAGGAGTGATGGAGTAAGGAGTGATAGAAAAACCTCGTCGTCGTGCTTCCTGTCAGGCATCTCGTTTGTATCTGAGGAGCGCTACCTCACTCAAACTTATCGGCAGTGCAATCCCTATAAAATACATTATGGGAGCCACCTGTACGTGATTGTGCAGGGCAACTTGAACGGTCATGGCCATGCTGGGCACATAGAGTAGCAAGCTGTGGTGCGACATTGCTTTGCAGGATGACCCAAACGCCACATTTTTTACATCGACTGTGGGGGTGGGGGATATGGTCTGACATGGCAAGATTCTACGCCGATATATGGGGAAGGTCATGTCTACAAAGGGGAATCCTGGCAATATTGGCATGCGACTTCTAGACCTTTAGAATGTATAGTGTAGCACTACTGATACTCTTAGTAAGGCAGGCAAATAGTTCGTCTTCACAGTCTGGCCAATCACTCTTGGCTGGGCTAAACATAGTACTCAGAAGATTTGTAAATGTAGTTGTAGACAGGTGAGGACAGGAGGAAGAAGGGGTTGTTGAAGTGAGGCAGTACCGTGAGGCGGAGGGCAGTCAGGTTAGTGTTGTAATACGGAGGAGGATGTAGGAAATTGAAATGATTGTGCAGATGGGTTGGAGGAGATTGGGAATGAGGAAGGGGTGTCTTTTGAAGGTTGAGTTATGATCTAGGTAGATGATTTAGAATTGGTAAAGTTCACAGGAAGTGTCGGGGAGGGTGTAGTTATAGTGGTCAGAGACATGATCAGGGGAGAATCAGGGGTCAGTAAACCAGAGTAATTTGATTCAGGGAAGCTTGCTGATAAAGGTGTTATAGGAAAGTATGGTAACGAAAAGGGAAAAAGGAGTTAAGAGGGTAGAGCGATTGTATCTGTGACAGGACATTGTTCATGGAAGACAGAGGTTGCTATTGGAAAAGTATGAGGAGAATAATCCGGGAGATGAGAAAAGGGGACTGGTGAAGGTGATGAAGTATCAGGAAGGTCTGAATGGGAGGGATCTGGAAAAGGACACTGTTGTGATAGAGGAGATTCGTGTGAGTATTCAAGTGGGAGCGTATAGAGGGTGGGGTATGTTGGGAGGGTGTAGGAATAAGGGGGGTGGAGGAAACTTGACGAGAGGATGGATATCTGCAAATACTTTAAATGTAGGAGTAGGAACAGAGGGATTGGGGGGAAGAAGAAGAAGAGGGTGTAGGAAAGGATGTAGTAGGAGTGGAGTGGAACGTTTAGGCAGCCTGGCGCAACAAATAAAGTGAGGAGAGGTAGGTATTGGGAAAGTGATAAAAATTGGAGTATCTGGATTTAGACTGGAAAACGAATTTGACTGGGGGATAGGGTGAGCATACCTCATATTTGAGCTTATAGACAAGACAGCTCCTATAAAATACATTATCGGAGTCTCCAGAACTGGCACATGTATGCGCGACTGAGCAGGATAGTTTGAATGGTCATGACCAGGTTGGGCACATAGAGGGCAGCGGGATGTGGAGCGAAAGTGTTTGGCTGGGTGACCAAAACGCCAACCTTTCTGACATAGGTGAGAAAGGGGTCAATATGGTCGGACATGGTAGGACAATCCACAAATATAATTTCATGGGGAGGTCATGTCTACCGAAGCTAATCTTGGCAATATTGACATGAGATTTACGCTGACCTCTGGGAGGAATAGTGTAACACTGTACTGCCACTGCATCATAATAAGCAAGGCAGGTAAGTCGGTAATTTTCACTGTCTGACCACTTTTTGTTGTAGATAGGACAAGCATTTGGGGGGATGGAAACAATTCCAATACAAGTATTAAGAGAGGGATGAGGTTCAGCAGGAATGGATTTGCCAGTGAGGTCAATTAGGGTTATGTAACTGTGACGAGGCGTGAACGTCGGGGGACTGCGAAAGGTAACCTTGCCTACTTGTTTTTGGAGGCACTGTTGAAAGAGAAGGGTATTCTCAAAATAGGATCTGTGGGGGGATCTCAAAGAATCGATCCCACTTTGCTGGGCCAAAGAGAGTACTCAAAAGGTTTGCAGAGGTAGAGGCAGTAGGATGAGGAAGAGAGGAAGATAGGGTGGTGTAGAGTGGAGGGAGGGGACAATAAGAATGAAGAATAGTAATAAGGGAAGACGGGGTAGACACTGAAGAGGACTGTGCAGCAGTTGAGTAATAACTCCAGACAAGGACAACACTCCCCTTAGTTACTAGACATACTGTTGAGAGTAATAAAGTTATTACTCAACTGGTTGAGGAGTGTTTTGGAATGGATAGTGTTGTCAGTAAGCGTTGAAGAGAGGGTATTAATATCCTTGGTCGGAGCCATGGTTAAAGGTGGCAGGGGTCAGAAAAATCATCAAAATCAAATTAGATTGGCTAGTTGATAAAGGGGAAAGCCTTAATGCACCTATTAAGGGTAACGAATCTTCATTATTGGCCATGGTGAGCCTGAATAAAATGGGGAAAGAAAGTCTACCCCTCAGGATCCCCAAAAGGGGTAAGGGCTAGGCAATTAACCAAGGGAATACTGTGCCCATGGCTCCTGGAGGCCATTCATGACTGACACAAAGCCAGCCTTTCATCTTTTCTGCACGGCTCTCGCACCTTAGCAATGGGATAGAAGAAGGGGATGAAGAAGATACAGAAGAAGAAAGGAGAGAAGAAAAGACCAAGCAAAATTAGTTGAGTCAAGGGCTGAGGCCCAAGGTGATCCCCTCCATTAGGCCTCAGTTTCCATCTCCTAAGCCCTCCCACAACAATAATGAGCAAGGTATTGGGAGGGAGAATAAAGAGAAGTCAGTATTTGTATAAGTTTATTTTCACTTATCAATAGGGAATTTATATAATGGCAAGGTTTATGTAATTTCTTATTCAAACTAAAAATCACAAAAAAGTTCCAAAATGGCAAGTTTCCATTTTAAAAGGTTAATTGAACTTCTAACAAAATACCACAGAGGCCTATTTGCTCATCAGAACTGAGCTTTTAACCATTTTGTCATGTTTTACTGTCAGCTATATCTGTCACATCAGGTGACTTTCCAAAATCTATGCACAACCTGTCTCTATGGTCAAAATGATCAACTATTCAAGTGTCTGTATATTTAAATGTCAAATCCATTTACAAGAGGAAACTTTGTGATATCTAATATAAAGTGCTTTACATTTTACTATTTGAATATCATCAACGGACAGGTAATGTTTCAACTGAATAAGAAAACTGAGGAATAAGCCACCTACTGTAATGATGCTTATTCACTGTCTTAAAATTGCCAAAGTAACCTGTTGCTCTTGTCCTGGACTAGATCATTTCATAGTTAAAGAATACTGTTTATACACATTGCAACAATATTAAAACACATGAAATAATTACATCTTCTATTTTGCAAAGAAAGATATTGTTTGCTTTACATACAATACCCCATATTCACAAGTATATGAACAGGGAATATTCCTTGTCAAAACTAATGTGTGTACATTATCAAGGTATCACATATAATAAAGATTACACCTAATACTTGAATATACCAAAAATGTGTACTTGAAATACAAAATATGCCTGCAGTACCAATATCTGATTGCCTATCATGATATCTTTCCATACGGAATTTAGTACTAAACATTGCTGAGAAAATATCAAGTAGTCTACAGAATTTCATTTCTGTCAGTAGTTTTGTATATTCTTATCACACCATAATTAAGGAAAGAATCAACACTAATAAGGCCATAATGTTGAGGTAAGCAACAATAAGCTATGATTTTCTTCCTTTAATGTAAATATGAGAAATAGTCAAGCTTAACGCAAATTACTTCAGTACAGCGGAATACCTAGTGACACAGACCCATATACACCAATATTCATAAGATCTGAATCTTCTGATCTTACAAACCACAGGACTGATAAATATCATCAAGAGCATACACACACGCACATAACTGGGATCTAACCTATAATAAATACATAGTGCACATAACAAATGTAGGGAGCGAGATTCTTCAACATAACACATCCATACATCACAGTAGGAATGTTGGTGCTAATAGGAATTATTGTTAACTATACCCTAAAGACCTAAGTAATCCTGCCATGCAATTCTGACTCACAAACAAATGCCCTATATCCAGTTAAATTCTTTTCAAGAACAAAATGAATACAGAGTAAAAGATAAAATCACGGTTATTTGTACAAGTATATTTATTTTTGTTTTTGTGTGTTTGTGTCTGTGTGTCTGTTTGTGTAGCACAATTGCACACTAGCAAGCATCTATAATAAATGTATGAATGCTAGATTCTTTGCTGCTCTTCCCTTTCTCACAATCTCATATATTTTTGTTTTTGTTGTTCAGCACAATCAAAAGGTTATCACAACCAAGTGACCTATAACAGCATTGGAAATATTTTTCCCATAAAGCATAAGCAGGACACAGAACTTAACAATATAGGAAAAAAATATTAATGGGAACTAATATGCTTGGGATAGCAATTGCTGCAATGAAAATGGATATGAAGAAAATGGTGGTGATGATGATGATGGAGATGCTGAGGAAATGTCTGAATCACTAACAGCAATAATGTGTAGGTAATGATCATGATCATGATAAATGATGGTAATGATAAAAAGAAAAATTAACAGTGAAGTTAATAATAATAATCTCCATCATAGTAATAGTGTCTAAATATATTAAAAATCATGTTGAAATAAAAAAAAATATTAATTAAAATGTGAAATATCAAACTTCAATGTAATAACTTAACATACTTCTCCAACTTAACTATGAATGCTCAAAATGTGCAGTATTAAATAAAAGTATCAAAACACAAAGGGTGAAAAACAGAAATAAAAAATCACAACTTCATAATTATCATCTCAGTTCTTTATACACAATCTTAAATAATTACTTTCACTAACTAAATATATACACTTAATATCATGATATGAAAACCTTTTGATGGAAGGCAAAAAACCATTAAAATGCACAACATTTTCTCTCATCCCAAAAACATTACAAAGTGACCGTATCACAAATAAATCTCTCTGCTTGGTTACTATAACTAGTGCTTACTAATGAAGGGAAAGACAAGAGGACAGACAAGCAAGTCATGAAAGATGTGAAATTATTGGCTTCAGTCATTAAAAAACAAAAAACAAAAAACAATCTAAATAATATGATGCCAAACTGAAGTCTTTTTTTTTTTTTACATAACAGACCATCTTGGGTTTGAAGATAAAATGTAATGCCTAAATTTTCAATAAATATGTTTTGTCAATCTCATAAAATCGTATGTACTGTACATTTATTTTTATTTATTTATTATTATTTTTTTTTTACCCTGATGATGTCTGGTACAATTCTTTCAAGTGTTTTACTCTAGTTATAGCTCTATAAACCACTCCCACACTGCAATATCAAAATGTAAAATTGTGGTAAAAATTCTAATAAAACCAATGCTCAGGGATTCTGTTCGAGACTCGTTTGTGCTAAGTTAGAGAGTGAAAACAAGAATAAGCACAACAGTTCCTGCTCCCAGAGACTAATGCTACTGCAATCAGACCATTTACAAAGGTAAAGATATTTACAAAGACATATATACCATATAGTTCCATTATCTAATCATATGTATGAATTCTTTTACAATAAGATAAAAGTTGAAAAGAAAGCCCAAACAAATACCAACCTAATCGTGGTGAATGAAATCAAGAGGAAAATCAATTGTACAAAGAATGCAGATTCATTATCAAGCCTTGTGAAAATTACAGCATGGCTTTATAACAATATTTCTTTTCTATATACCCAGCACATCTTATATCATATATACAGCACATCTGCATTGTCTCATATTTGTCTTTAAAGCATTTACTGATTCTTAATACAATATATTAAATCACATGAATCTCTGTCTTATGAAAATAGACTAACCCACTGATCACAAAGTTAATTATAAATCTATAGCATTAGATAAACAAGAACCAACAAGAAAAACAAAAAAATAAAAACATTTCCATATTGAAACCATAAAAAAGGAAAAAGAATTACTAAAAGATCTTACAGATCACTGATGGCACGTTAAAAAGTGTGAGCATTGCGACAAACGCCACAACCCAGAGCAAACTCTTCCCCTGTTGGAGGGTGCTGCACATGGAGTGGACACTCTTCACCCTCCAGCTGCTGGGCTCTTGGACCTAGTAAGACAAAGGAAGGAAAAAATTAGTGCAAAATAAAAGTCAAAATTACTGATACTAGTAAATCAAAGAGAAACATGGTGAGGGCAGTCCTTGTTTCAAAATATTTTTCTATTCACTAACACTCCCTAAGCAATTGCAGTTTTCACTTTGGCAAATTTCCTGAATGCATACAAGTTTTGGCTAAACTAGAATATAAGAAAAGGAAGAAAAAGAAGACTAGTACCAAAATCAAACCCTGTCCTAAACTGTTCACAAAATACATTGCTAAAAAAAATATTTTCATGACATCTTATGTACTCTCTCCAAGCATTAATTTTATTATGACTCCACACATTATGACTTACATACTTGTTGGATATAATTTTCTAAACTGTTGTGAGAAACTTTATGTTACTATGCTGTACATAACTAGTAAAAGAATGTGTATTCCATTTCTATGAAACTCAATGGTAATTAATGTTCTAATGAGAATAACAAGAAAGTGAGAAAGGTATAAAACTCACAAATACTCATACTAAACATATACTAACAGTACCTAAATTGCTTCTACTTATAATATAGGCAAAATAATTATAACAGACAAAATAATTATAACAAGGACCAAAAAATTATAAACCCACCTGCAGGACAATGTGGCAGCTCTGTCTTTGGAATATTTGTCACTCTCTGGAAATCATCATGACATGCATTGCAAAAGTGTGTTGTTCCAAAACAGAAAAACACTGCTACTGAGCAACAGTATCTGCACTTGTATTCAAGGAAGTCTGTGCCATGCTTGGGGCACATCTGTGCACGGGAGACGTCTGAGCAGGCCCCACACACCAACTCCCTTGGGTCATACTCATCACCAAGCCCTGCTTCTACATCACACCTTGCTTCACCTCCATAGTAGGCCTGTAGCATTAAAGACATCCTGTTAAGTGACTTCCTCTATACTCATATGGTAAAAGAGAAAATGAAGGTTGCCTGTATGTGGACTAGGTGAGATTGATTGCTACCACAATGAAGGGAATATACAAGCTCATGCATAAATCAGCTAAGATGAAAAGTACTTGTCTCCTGTTTGTGATATCAGTTTATTTATTTACACTATCATCAAACCTGAGGAAAAAAAGGCAGCCAGCTACCTTCCCCTCCATTGTTACAACTATAGTTTCCATATTTTGTTGCATGAACTAATAAAAAACATAAAACAACACAGAAGAAAATATATGACATTCTTGTAAAAAGAAGTAATTGCTAAAGGAAAGACTTAGCATTACCCCATTGGATCCGGTTGTGTCACAGAAATCACAGTGCTGAAAACACGGGCAGTGGGTTATGTAAGTAGCCCACATCCTGGTAATGTGGGGCGCAACACAAACACCCATGAGCTGTGACAAGTGTCTGTGCCTCCCCTTTGCAAAGTTATTTTGTGTAAAGTTTTTTTTAGCTTTATTGCCATTTTCCAATGTTCATATTTGTCTTTTGATTTGCTTTATCCAGATGATAATAGCTTATTTTACTTGCAAACTCTGTATCATCTCTGTATGTAGTAAACAACTCAGTGCAAGGGGGAAAAAAAAAGGACCATTTGGTTATTTGTGTCATATTTTCGTAATTTTCAATCTTACGTGATACAATCTTCAGCGCTGATCACAGCGGCCTGGAATGTGGTGCGCAGAATGGATGTGGCGTCTTCCCTGGAGCCGGTGCTCTTCCAGTCACTGCTTACAGTTGTTACATTCCACATTTTTTTATCGATGGGAATAATGCTAAAGCCCCCTTCTAAGCGTCAAATTAGTCAAATCACATTCTAAGAGGTTTGTGCACTTGTGGCAAGTCTTTTCCACCACCTTGGCCTTTGCTCATGACCGTAAGCTTGAGTCACCTGGATTGCAGACATTTTGCCCACTCCTCATCCCAGATTTTTCCATAAGGGGACCGTAACGTCATCTGGATCGTAAGGGTTAATTTTTCTTGGGTTATGATAGGCAGGGCAAAAAATTATGCCCTCCAAACCTTGTCAAGATTCCTGAAATATTTTTCCATGTCTCTCTTCAGCACTGTCCATTCCTATACACCAGGAACAGGTGAAATTTCATTCAATTTTGTGGCAGTTATTCAACTTGTCTTATAGAGTGGATGTTTCATAGCACTACATGAATGTCATGTATGAGGTTAAACCGAGTGCCACGCCTGCCATCCACCCCAATATTGCCCCAAATGAAAGTGGTTAATGAATCACATGTTCTGATATCCCCTTGTCAATCAATCAATCAATGGGATTGAAACCAATGGAGGAGCATATCTGCATCCACCCTTCGCTTCCAGCAATGAAGATCCCTCATGGCGAGCCACCAGGAAAGTCCTCATCTCATCTCAAAATCCTTGTGACAGGTCTGGTCAATCTGCCAAAGCCATGACTCAATAGGATGTCCTATATTCTTCCTCCACCATGGTTACCTCAGGAGAACACGATCAGATAAACAGGGTCATTCACAAGTTTCACTTCCATATAGCAAAACTTGCAGTATCAAGGTTTAATAGCCAACAGTCATGAAGTACACTACCAAGAGTTTTACATACCAAGGTAAGTAAATCTCTGTGTGACTTCAATGTCCTTGCCTTAGCATGGACTGACTGCACTAGTTCCAGCAGGCCCCCAAAATTCTGGGCCTTGGTCCATGAGGCCTTTAGGTTAAAGGGCTTTGCCACATTGCTAAATGCATCAAAAGCCACTACTAAGAGTTTCAAAAGACTCAGACAGGCTGGCAATAATGTCAGGAAAGTCAAGGTAAGTGACCTTGATACTGCCCAGTGTTGCTACATAGTGGTTTTGGATAGCAGCTCTGCTACTCCTCCTCCTGAATTAATGAGGAAGAAGCTAGACATGCCCTCTGGTGCCTTAGCAGGTAGTCTCTGATAGGTCTAAGAAGAATGTGAGCAAGAACCTTGGTTGGTACACTTAGTAATGTGATGCCATGGTAGTTGTTGCAGTCCCATTGATCCCATTTCTCCTACCAGAGATGGTTGACCATGCCTCTTAACAGATCTGGGGGAATGGTACTGGACTGCCAGATGGCAGTCAGGATAGTATGCAAGCCCCAAGCCATAGGTTCACCATCAGCCTTTAGCAGTTCAGTAAGAATACCACATATGCCTGATGGTTTCCTCCCCTAACCACAGTCAGGGGAGGGTGGATCTGGTATAGGGATTGTGAGACCACTTGCTTCCAAACAAAGTGCTGGCAGGTCAACCTGATACAGCTGTTCCTAATACTCAGCCTATTGTTCTGAAAACTCGACATGATCTGAGATAATCCGTCTATCCACTGAGCGGATTGTAATCATCTGTGTGGAGGGCTTGGAGTTCAGCTTTCTCAGGACTTGCTAGGTAGGATGAAGGTCATTTACTACGACAGCCTTCCTCATGTACTGCTCCTTGTCCATTCTAAGCTGTGTCCAAGTCCTGCACACCAATGAACAGTGCAAATCCAGATTACCACTCAGTCAAGCTATAGAGGATGGTTGGTCATCCTCTCTTAGACTGGTCTATTATCTCATTGGTTCTAGAGGATCCTCCAGTGAGTAAAATCTCCTTGGCCACAGTACTCATATTTCTGTACCATGTCCAGTGATGCAGGTTGGAGTGCTGATACCAAGATCTAGATATCTCCTGGAGAAAGAAGCTTTTACTTACTGCTGGAATCAGCTCCCAAGCCATGGGGACAGACCTCTCCTTATGGGGTTCCTGAAGGCTTTATCCACAAGGACATGGGTGAGGTAAGTTAATTCCTGTCTGTTGCATGGTGAACACCTTCCCCTTTCCTCTTTCAATTTGTGCTGCAATCAGGCCTCTTGGAGTGGCAGATTGACAGGAGCTACCACTTTACTACTGCTTAAGGTTTAACTATATGAAACTTTCATTATAACATGACACATCACTTAGTTACATTTTGTTGTTTATACTTTTCTGAGACCTGATATTGAAAAGTAAATGTGAAGTAAGAAAAATGATATGCAAGCTAAAATGAGCATGTTAAAAAAATTGAATACTTTAAATAAAATCAATATCAAGCTTGAAATTAGAGGAAATCTGGTTAATCAAAATAGGGCAAATTGCAAATGCAGAATGATTACCAAAACTATATGAGCTGTTACACTGCTACAACCTACAGTAATGATATTAATAATAATAACACAACAGTTAATCCCAGCAGGAAGCTGTCATGACTTGAACTGCTTAAGTTACCTTGTTACATTTGAAGCACACATAATATGCATAACGGTCCATAGCATAAGCAGCTGGATCATTGTAGTACCGTGCACCTGGGGTTGAAATAGCCTCTGCTCGGTGCAAGCCCTCATATTCCAGCCTCATGAGAGCCTTCCTCCGGACGTCCTCAAATAGGGCTGAGATTGGGGACAGCAGCTCTGTCAGCACCCCATGGCTTATGCGAACCTAGGGATGGATAGCAGGTCTTAGGCAACAAACTGAAGTTTATATGAAACCTTTTTGACTTTAAGGCTATAAACAAAGGGATATATTTCAAAACGTATAGCAGAATAACAATAGAAATACTACTACTACTACTACAAATAAAATAGTCACATCTGAATAAGTATTGCAAAATAAGATGGGAAGTCCATCCTGTTCCACAGTCAGACTTACCTTACAGATTGGGCACATGGAAAAGGTGAAAGTGATACGTGGTCCTGGCCAACGCCTTGTTAACACTGTGCGGCAGCAATGTGCATGGAACACATGGCCACACTCGAGCTGTGGATGAGAAAATATTGACAATTTCATGTAACCACCCTCTGAAAAAATTAACACAATCTGAGCTTGGAAAAATGGCATAACACAATAAAATGTTTTTCTTTACAGAGTTAAACAATATACATTATTCCCTTAGCCCCTAAAGTTCTGTCCATCAAGATCATGAAAGGTCTGTCAAAACTGTTTTGTTACGAATATGATGTATGTAGTGTCCACAGCTATATAGGGTACTGGTTGACAAGTTTCCTTCAACCAAACTCCTATACCCCACTTCCCTTGAAGGCCCTCCGCTCCCTGAGCCAATCACACGGCTGTTTTCTTCCCTTTCTTCTTATGAATGGAACAGTGAGTTGAAGCAGGAGTTCTGGTAATTTTTGGCATATTTCCTGACACCAGTCTTTTACTATTCCACATTCCCCACATTCCACACATACCATATTAAATATATCTCAGAGTTATATCATTGTCAAATTACTATTTATCAAGAAACTTATTCACACATTCAACTAAACATTGTTTTACATATCAATCTATCCCCATTGTCATTCATATGTGATATAGAACAGTGATAACTTTTTCAACTTTACTGACATTCTTCATATTAGGTATTTGGCAACAAAATGTACAATTTCTCTCATGCAAAACTAAGCTCTTAAAATCCCTACAACCAGAAATTGCCAAAATCAAATCTGAAAGATCTGGCTTTTTTGTGACAGTGGGACAAAAAAGCTAGAGAGTTTGCTTTTCTTAGGGATAACCCCAAAACCTTGAGGAGAATTTGAGGTGCGCTGGGCCTCTGCTCCAGGAGGTACGTGCAGCTGATTAGGCTTGCCTCTGGGGCCTATTTCAGACATGGCTAGTGTGTTGCATTGACCATGCTGCACCAACAAAATGGTATGATGTTTTTTTGTATTTCCTGTCTCCAAAACAAGATTTAAATGTTTTTGCAGATTGAGATGCATGATATTAATTCTAGTTGCTAGATCGAATCTGTAGTAGACTAATTATGTAAATTACTCCATTTAATTAAATTAGGCGTGCTACACTCTATGTAAGAGATGGAATGTAGTTTTATCGAGATTATTATTTTTTTTCTAATTTTCACAAATTCATTCTTATGAAATAAAAGATTGTATGCAGCTATATATAATGATGCTACTCCCAAGGCTTCAGTACTTCCCTTCTGTGTATCATGCTTCAAGACATTCACACTAGCAGAACACCATACGACAATGTGAGTAGTTGACACATGGAGATTATGTAAATTAAAGTGAAGGTTACTTACTGCTTCACAGCAGAGGAAAGAGAGCGCAATGCTTTCATGCATGACATCTTCCAGGGATAGCATGTGAATGATCTGTGCTAAACATCACCTCTTTTATACAAAACAATAACCAATCAGAGCATTGCATGCCCTGTTCTCCCTCAGGCAATGTCCCAGGGTGTTGTGGGCATGAGGGTACCTTACAAAGAACAGTACAAAATGGAATGCATGTATCACAGTAACATGATGTGGATGACCTTGCACCCAGAGCTGTGCCCTAGATAGCCATGATTTGAATGACCCTTCACCTGGAGCCTAGACCAAGTCAGTGATGACATGAACCCCATGTCATCTGGAGGCTAAAGGTTAATAACCAATAACAAGCTTTTTGGGTTTTTAACCTAATGGTGGGTACTGTTTGGAGCCAGTCGCTTGAGTGTAAATCGGAAGCAAGGGAAATACATTTTTATGGTCTTGGTTGCAGCATGCATGATTTTTCATTGACCTAGACTAAAAAGTGTCTGAAAGCCCACTTTTGAGAGGCTGTAACAACTGAATCATGGCCATATAAATGAATTAATGTTTAATGTGCACAGTTTAGAGCTGGCTCTGCACATATGGCAAGGGTGTAGGTGTCATCCAATAGGAATCCAGTCAAGCCAAAGCACACATGTACATACCAACCATCAGCAAAGGGGTAATGATTATATCTAATACTTCAGAAGTAAAACTTGGTGTTTCTGACCTTAGATTTGTGAGACACAAATAAACTGGGAGATTTAAACACTGACACCTGTAAAACTTTCCCATTACCTGAATGGCAGGAGCAGCAGATAGGGCCTCAGAGAAGCATATCATGCACATGTCATCTGCATCCTGTTTAAGTGAGGGAGTATTGGCACATCCATGGAGACAAGGCAGGCATGAGGCTTCACCCTTCAGTCCCCCACATAGATGGCCGCAGTCATGTGTTCTTACACAAGCTTCCCGACTATATTCCTGTAAGAAATTAAGAAAAATGTATTAAATGAGTAATTATTTGTGTGTATATGAATGAACTGTATGACCCAACATTGGTATATAGTATTCTTTAAGAGCTGACTTTTTTGCAGGTCACTAACAAAATCATAATAATGCTTTAACTACAAACCTGGCAATCAGAATCCTGGCACACTGGAGCAGGAGACAGGAGTGATGGCTGAGCTGGTGCTCCACAGAACCTGCAAGTTGATGCTGCCACAGAGCCACGAGATCTCTGGTTCTCCCCACGCAGTTCTAGCATGGCCTTTAGGGTGGTAGAGTCAGCCAAGGCCAGAAGCCAGAATAACTTTGTTCTTCCACAGCCTTCATGCAAGTCCACCTGACCAGTATTAAAAACAAAACAATGCATTATGGCATGGAAAATTAGGTAAAGCATGGAACATAATAAAAGCTATCAACTTTGCCTCTGCATTTATTTTACTTTCATGCATTCACAGTAGGGTAGCATCCACTATATGGATAGCTAGTCTCTACCTTAATGGCTTCTTGCTCTTGTCTGAACACAGTGCGGTGATGGTGCCTTGTACGGCGGTGCAGATGGAGGATTCGATCACACTCGCCACACAGGTTGCTGCTGCATTCCTCACATAGGATCATGGCTGGAGTCTCACCATCATCATGGTTTTCACATGTTGGCTGTGTATGATTCACATTTAAGAAAAAATCATTAATAGATTGATAATTTTTGACAACACTATGTGTATAGCATGAAAAAGATATGGATCAAAGCAACAAGACACTACTCTTAAAAGACAATACACAATCACCAATGGCAATAAAAGTGTCAAGAAAGATATATTTCAAAATGCTACTTCTTTCCACCAATTCCTGCCAACTTATCAATTCCTTTAGAGGGAAGCTGCACTCACTCGTGGCTCTGGGTTATGTGGATCCCCCCCCTGTGATGCCAGGAGGAGAGGGCATCCACATGGTCTGGATGGAGCACACATAGGGATGCAAGTGCAAGCCAGAGTGTGGGTGTAGCCAGGCATGATGCTGCGCATGACCTATCACTTTCACTGAGTCTTGTTAGATTCACAATATTCTCGGCAATTGCACCTTTGCTGACCTTTGCCCAATTATCAGACAGTTTGCCCTGGTTGAAGAAAAAAACATATCTTATACCTTAACAGAAATAGAATATCAAATAACATTTTAAAGCTTTAAAAAGAACAAACTTAATGTATTCATGCCTGACATCCTATATATTGTAGGACTTTTAACCCATTCACGACTGGTGTCCCACATATCAGACACCTAAAAAAATAAACATTGCTGGGCGTCCCGCCAGTGTGACGCTGTATTGGGCTTGTGTTCTGATGTGGCAGCGAGCTGCAGCTAGGGGGGGACACAGACTCAGAGGAATCTCCGCCCAACGATTTTGTAACCACCCAGAATTTTTTTGGCATCAAAATATACCGGCATTAATGGGTTAAAATATTCTCAGAAAATTATGAGATCATAGAAAAAGGAATTTATTAGCGTTTCTTAGGTACTGACTCTCTGGAAATGCACAGGCTGTGCATTTTGCAATCATGATGTATTGGTATGTGCTACACAGCATGTCAAATATGAAGATATTTTTTATACTTTCTCCATTTGCTGGTAGTATTTGTCAATATACATTTCTGTGTATCATTCTTTATCTGATATTAGCCAACTCAGGAAAAGTGTATGTTACTTGTCTTATAGTTTTTACTTTATTAACCCATTGCTGACGGAAAAGTGTGTTACTTGTCTTACAGTTTTTACTTTATCAACCTATTGCCGACGGGTAAAAATGTTTAGCAAGTGGACGTATGGACGGGCTTGTTGGCACGTATGGGTCGTTTCCCCTGTTTGCGCCCAGCTTGATCGGTAGTTTGCGAACGACGTTTAGCACCTAAAAGCTTTTATTTTGCTAAAATTTATAAAAATATAAAAAATTTGAAGGTTTACCTAAAATCTTTACCTAATAAATAAAGCCTCTACTATCGGAGAAAAACAACCTCCATCCGACGAGCCAGTGGCGCGGGAATGGGCATGACACGATGCCCCCTGGCGTTCGGTCCACAACAGCCATGGCATGTACGTACATGCCACCTGGCGGCAACGGGTTAACACAGACACAGACACACACACAGACAAAGTCACAGACACAGACAAAGACACAAACACAGACAGACACACATACAAAGACACATACACATGTCTTTTTTCTTCTTTTCTTTTTCCCCAGAGGATTAAAAAGTAACTGCTTCTAGAGCAAGTAGACCAAACAAACCAAGCTAACCAACTTCTTTAGTTTGGCTGAAGCAAGTACTTCAAAAGAAGAGCAACTATATATAGTGAAAGTGTATAATGAACACATGGGTGGAGCAAACAGAATGAACCAAATTGTCTCAAAGTACAGAAGAGCAATGAGGAGAAAGAAGCGGTATGTATGTGTCGAGATATATTGCATTGATGTAGCAATCAACAATACTTGTCAGCTTCACAAAATGTGTGAGGGTAAGGATGTGATGGATGTCCTTACATTTAGGTGCAGCATTGCATGTTTCTTTTTGAAGCACTATGCAAGTCTTCTTTCTACTGGCAAGCAAAGAAAACCAAAGAGTAGGCTAATGAGGCTCAATATGATATGCATGCATACTGGATTGTTCAACAGAATTGTCAAACAAATTGTGCCCAATGCCACATGATGACAACAAGAATGTGAATTGCTTCAAAGGATATTACACTCAGTAATATGCAGCAGGCTTGAATCATTCTAAAGGAGAAACAACTGTTTTCATGTGTAGAAATTCATGCATATATAGCATCAGGACTGCATTTTATTGATAACAGGTGGATTGTCAAGTTACAATTAACAGCTAAATTTTGGAATAGATTTGCCTAGTGGCCTATATAGAGCATGGCATATATTTTACACATCAAAAAGCAACATATATGCACTAAGTTACACTAATTACACCTACAAGCAAAGCTGTAAAACAATGTTTTTAAAAAGCTGACCTATGGCATAGATTGATTAAATTACACCAAAATCTTACTGTGGTCATGTCTCTTATCAAGCTAATGATGAGATCTGCCTGTTTCTGTGTGGCTGACCCTTGCAGCCACCATCTAGGGGAGTTGGCCTGGGGTGTGGGCATGGTGCTGGCCAGAGAGACGGAGGTGACTGCTCCCTTCCCTTGCGTTGCAACAGATTTTCCTCCCTCACCACCCTTCGTCTTCAGCTGTACTGTGAGAGCCTTTGCAATCACAGCAAGGAATACATCCAGGATTCCTTGTCTGTTGAAAGCAGAAAAGTCAGTAATGGGAAAATATAACAATATCAAAAGAAAAAATCTGAAAATTACAAGGTACAAAATCAACAATTAAGCCAAGAGAAAAATTTGCTGTCAAACACATATACTTGATTTTTACTGCATGCAACAGGCTTGGCAAGCCTGTAAGAGGACTCATGATGGCTAAAGCCATACCAGGTGAATAGCCATAATATCTCAAGATGGACATAGCCATTCCTGTCTGTATGGGGTTAAGCATTCAAATGTGTATATACAAACAGACAGACAGATGTAGATACAGACAGTGTAACACTGGCAACAGAAGTGACTTACTGGTGAATATCAAAGTTGTTTTCCTCATCCTTGGATGTAGCATGTAGGATGGCATAGTCATGAGCAGGAAGGGCTTCTACTCCCAAGATCAAGGCCAGAGACTGAGGGGGAACATCAGCCAGCATGCGTCTGAACAGTGCCACAACCTGAATAAGAGTGAACATTTACACATAATAATTCCTGCATTGAATTATTATGTTCTGACATTAGAAATCCTTTTGTCTACTTTGCTGATAATCATCCTTAATATATTTACATTGCTATTATCCACTGAATCATCCTTTAACTCAGCACTCAGTACTGAACAAGTTTATTAATTTTCTCAATATACTGTTTACCATGAATGGCAGCATTGAATCAGAGCCTACTAGTTTAAGGTTACATCCAGCTGTTATTAACCCCAGCAACTATAAATATTATGTCTTAACACACTGCACATATCTAACTCAACCAATCTAGAGCCACTAACCTGTCTCTGGACACGAGCTGATCCTGTGTGAAGCAGTGACAGCAGGTGCTTCAGCAAGTGATCCTGCTGAGCCAGATGTGCCCGGCCAACCACAGAGCCACTAAGGGCCAATACCATGGACAGCATCTCAAAGCAGTAGGTGTCAGGGGGGTTGTGCTGTCCCTCTTCAGGTGTAGCTGGTGTGCCCAGGCCTCCGCAGTTGAGCCCTGACTCCCATTCTTCCCTTGCCCTCACGGCCTCCTTGCGGATTGCCTGCACTATGTGTGAGCAAACCTGGAAGTTTGATAATGTTTGTTAAACCATTTTGAACTAATACTGAGAGGAATCATATTACAACTAGCTTCTTAAAGCTTCATTCACTTAACAGATGTAGTTTTACCTGTTTTTGGAGGTGTGTGAGTTTTGATCGTGAGAACAGGATGCCGACCATGTGTTCTCGGAGGTCATTATTGTGGTCTTGCTCATCTACATTTTCAATGTTACCTGCAGTCCCATCACTTCCCTCTGCAGCTTTGCTGCCACCTTCTGCTGTCATGATGAGGCGGCCAAACACCTGAAAAATATATAAAAATCAATGGGAACTCTACATTTTGAATAAGATGAGAGGTGCCATAGTCTGGAAAATCCAAGACAAGCACCAAAACATAATTTTACATCTAAATATAAAAACAAGTACACTACTCACCTGTCCAGTAATTAACCTGAACACCTTAAGTGTCTCTTGCTCACAGGCCCTATGCTGGATAGTGAGGGGAGAATGCTGACGCAGGGGTCTTGAGCCTGAGCCTTCCCCTCCCTCACCACCTAGGACTCTCACTTGCCGCACCCGCACGCTCTGATCTGGTCCTCTGAGCTCCACAACTATGGTTGTGATTACATCATCTGAGTGGAAATGATTGCATTAATAGTGTTGAACAATGTTAAACTGATTATATGTAAGCCCAAGTATCAGTCATCAAAAAGTTTCTTACGTGGTAGAACTGCATGAATCCATCCACTGAATCTGCTTTCAATATCAACTTGTCTCACTAGAACCATGTCATCTCCACTGGGGCCACACTTAAAGACTACACTTGATACTTTATTCTGAAGAAGAGAGAGAAAAATAAAAATAATCTTACATCCAACATCATTTGACAATTATAATATACAGATACAAATTAAATATAACTTATAAAACTTATTCACAATAAATCTAAAAGGAAACCATCAATATTACAAAAAAGGAAAGAAAGAAAGAAAAAAAGTTTTTTTTATCAAAACCTAAACAAACCAAGGTTTCAAAAGCAAATACCAACCCCAAGATCCCGACAATTATCAATGTGGACATAAACTGTCTGAGGGCGGATTGCCGCAGCACAAGTGATGGTGAGTGCCTTAGTTTTGTTTCGATCTTCATCTCCAGACTCCCAAAATGTCTCTGTAGATGCGTCTGTTAAGGATGGAACCATGGCTTGTCTACTTGAAGCGCGGACTTCACACTTGATGCGTTTGTTTCGA